GGGGAGGTGTGCTTGGGTCCCACCGGGCCGTGGGTTATATCTTACCCCTTTCACCAGGCACTGGGCTCTCGCACATGTGGATGTAGTCTGGCTGTTGTCCTGTGTCTTCTGGTCTCTCTTTTAGGATTAGTTGTATTTGTTGCATTTTCAAAAATATATGTGTTTTTGGGAGGAGATTCCCACTGTCCTACTCACGCCGCCATGTTGGCTCCGCCTGATCCACAGTTGCTTTTTATTTGACCTTTCCTTCTGTTGATTTAAATTCTCTTTGGAACACAACCCAGGGCAAGGCTGACTTCTTTCAAGAAGCCTAGATTCTCCCTATCCACCAGGAATTCCTGCTTTTGAATAGCATGTACAGGAAGGCTTTGGGAACTAAGTATTCCTGTTGTCTGCCAGTCTGCTGGCCTGGCAGTTGGTCTAGGAGTCTCTCAGATGCACATTCAGTCCAGACTGAGACTGATTTTATTTTTCCTGTGACACCTGAGTCTCTGCAATCCGCATCTACTAGGTCTGTCGCTGTTTCAATGTGTAGCAAGGGCCTGAGCTAGCCATCTCCTCCCCAAGGGTTAGCTGGTACTTATTATTTTGAAAACATTAATTTGCTGGTGCTAGTTATTTGAAACCACTAGGGACAGCAGGCTTCCAATCCAGTATCAAAATGTAAACCCCTTGGTCTTTCATGCTTCTCTTCAGCCTGTCGTCGCACACTTCTGTTACCTTCATCAGCTCTCCCATTTCTCCTCTTCTGTCTTACACGTGTCTACTTGCTCCTTAGAACACTTGTTTATGGGAAACAATTCATCCTCCATTATTTTAGCTACCGTATACAAAGGTAGCTTCCATCTCTTCATTTAATGCTTTTTCTGCCTTTGGCCTTAACTTAATTCATTGATTCAGCTCCATCTTTCGATTGTTGATTCTTTTTTCCGACACACCTGGTGGGTAGGAGGTTGGGCAGGTTGGTCAGGAGTCTCCTCCATTCTCAGTGGTACATCCAGACTATTTGCTTCCACTCTTTCATTTAACAGTAAACAAAAATATCGTACCAAAGTAATTCTGTTCTTTTGAGACTTCATGCCTTTTATCTGTCTAATTTATTGCTGTCAGTTTTCTGTCATTCTTGGAATAGTTTGGTATCTGGATATGGTCTCCATTTTTACCCCAAATCTTGACATTATGTATTTGGTAGCATAGCCTGTCAGTCTGTAATTTCATGTCCTGGAATCCATGTGGACTTTATTTCTATATATTATGTGAAGTAGAGCTCTGTTCTTGATGACCCACTGATGGCGAATCAGTGATCATAACTTGACCATTTAAAGGATGATGCATTTTAAAATATAAAAGCTCTCCCATCAGCTGGTTGGCTCTAAGAAGATAAGGGCTCATAAAAATACTCGTGAGATGATATTTAAAAATATATTAATTTTAAAGTAATGAATGATAATTGTACCTTAAGTGGTGATACCTGGCTGTACCATAATATTGATTCACAGACAGGGGCTAACTGTTTCGCTAACTGTAGTGTGGTAGAAAGAGCATTGGGTAATTTGAGGTCTGGCTATTTGCAAATCACTTATTTTCTCTCTTTTTTTTCTGCTGCAAAGTGGAGAAACTAATACCTAAGTTGTATAGTTCTTTGGTCAATAAAATGCAATAATTGCATACATATCTGAGTGTGCTTTGTAAACTTTTATGTTTAAGACCTAATAAAAATTAGAGAACTATTCTCTCATAAGTTGGGTCATCAGGTTGCTTGTGAACATCACATTGTTTCCATAAAAAACTTGAATTTCTCTATACCTTGTGTTTTTTCATAGGAAGCAAAAAATAATAAAAAAAGTGTTATTTGAGGTATTTTAATCTGAATGATGGGTGTGGGGGTTCTAGTGAACGTTATTTCTTTCATGCAGCTATTTGTAAGTCTAATAAAAAAATTTAACTGTTCGTCCTTATGACCCTATTGTTGGATTGCACTGTTAATATTACCTTTTCAATGTTTCATTTACAGATATATGATGTTGATTGATGGCACAAATGAAGTTTTTATGATTGATAGAGATAATTCTGTGTTTCATGTTTCAAATCTGGAATTTCCATTTCGTAAAGATCTCCGCATACATTTATCAAATACTCTCTTGGATGGGGTAAGTTATATTTTAGCTTTTAAAAAAAATTCACTATTGCCATTTTTTTGCAAGTAAATGTGTATTTTTATTAAATAGGAAATTTATAATCCAGTTAAAGTTTTTTAAAAAGGTGAGGTATAATTAATATATAAAGACTGGAATCTAGTTTTTATTAGCATGTTTAATTCCATTTATCTCTTAACCTGTACTTCCTGTCACTTGATCATTGCCTTGAGTATAGAAGGTAAATGAACAAAATTAAATCTTAATTTTTTTTTGTTCTTTGTGATTGAAAAAAAATTCTTGTTGAAAAAAACTAGTTTTACTTTATTATTATACTTGTCAGTTGAATTATAATTATATGATATTGGCCAGCCTCTGTCTTTCTCTTGCTTTGTTTTACTTTTCTGTTTGGTCTCATTCTGAATGAAAGCCCTTTCCACATGGGAAGCAAGTTGCATGGCAGCCCAGTCGGAAAGAGAACTTTCTCTCCTAACATTCATATGTCAGTCCCAGCAAAGACTCTAAAGGCTTTGCCTGAGTTACATACCCATGGGAGAGTGACAGTGGTGGCCAGGGAGTCATTGGTAACAGTACCACTTGGACTGCAAGAGCAGCAATGCAAGGAAGGGATGGTACCAGCCTGAACACTGTTCACTATGCTGGGTTTGAGGGCATCCCCATTTTGAATACTGGCCTGTATAATTGCCACCCTTCTTTCCAGAGAAGTTGAGCACATGTAGAATTCTCCCAACCATGTGTAGAGGCTCTCTTGCTATTATAACACTGGGTTTTGAAAATTTTATATTTTCTAATTGGTGAGGGGTAAAAAGAGTTTTCCATTTTAAGGGACAGTATAGGACAGTGGTGAAGAGCCACAACTAACTGATGGTCCTTGACTGACTCCATCAGTTATTACCTCAGGGACTTTATATAATTTACTCACTTTCTTCATCTGTGGTGAAGTGAGACTAATAATAGTACTTAGTTCTTGGTATTGTTGTGAAGATCAAGTTGGATAGTTTATAAAGTACTGGTAACAGTGTCTCTCACATTGTGAAATAAATGTTTATTTTTTTGCATTTATGTGAAATGTTAATGAGGTTTAAGATTTGATCACTTCTTTATAAGTTACTATATTTCTTCTGTGAGTTGCCCATTGAAATCCTTTATACATTTTCCTATTGGGTGTTCATTTCTTTTTTTATGAGTATTTATCTATTGGGGTATTACTTTATGACACATATTTTGAAAAAAATGTATTTTTACTTTTTCTGGTGTTTCTGTGAAACAAGTTTACATTTATGTAGGTAAGTTTATGTAGGTAAAGTTATAAATACTTTGGTTTTTAATATTTGGCTTTCGTGTTATTTTAAGAAAGGGATATTTTTCACTTCAGAATTATTATAATACCTCTATTTCCTTTTAGTGCTTTTATGGCTTATTTGTATATTTAAGTATTTGATTTATCTGAAAAACATTTTGGTAAAAGGAATAAGATAGGAGTACAGTTTTATTTATTTCCAAATATCTGAACTCTTGCTGCAGCACCATTCAGCCAATCCCCTATTTTTCCTTTTTAATTGCATATATAATTTTTATTATATACTAGCTTCCTTTATATATCAATTATTTCTTTCATGATTCATTTTCCCATTCATTAATATTTTGATCTTCCAGTGGTAGTTTTAGAATGATTTAAATTCAATGACTTTAGCATACAATTTAGTGTCCTGTCTATTCTGAGGTGTGCCACATAGATTTCACTCTCTTCTTTAGCATTTAGACAGACAGGCAATTTGATTGAGAAATTAGGCTAGAGTAGTATGTTACACTGTATAAAAATAAGCTTCTATTTTACTCTGGAGAATAATTTATAGTAGGTTTGTCTCCAGACCATTCACCATTCTGTGTGCTGTGTTTGGTTGTATGGGTTAGCTTCCCGCCACACCTTCACTGACTTTCTTTGGAGGAGACAGGGACTCTACAACGTCATTATATCTTCCCATAGTTCGGGTCTCCTTTCTACAGGGATACTAGTCTTCAATATTGAACTTTTTTCATGAGCCAGACTGAATTATATCTGCTAATATTCTCTGAAATTTGTAATCCTGTCTTTAAGATGAAATTTATCCTCTATTTCTGGTTTGTATTGATAGACATTGGGTCCTGAGAGAGTGGCTTATGAATGTCCACTTAAACTCTCAATGATAGAATTATCCTAATGAAAATCACTTATGTAAAATATGTATTTATTTGTTTAACAGAGGGAATTCCAAATCACCTGAATGCTTGTTGCCCCCTTGCCATGTGCTTTGTTTTTATTTACCAGCTAAATATTGGAGTGTGGGTAAACCAATATTTAGGTTGGAACACTGTGATTGGAGAATGGGATGTTTGAGTTAGTTACTTGTGAGGTTTAATTCTAGGTGATGAGGTTTCAAGATAGATATGGCCCAGAGAGAGTGAGAGGTTGAGGTTGCATGAAGAAGAGCTGTGGAAATGAGGTCAAGGAAAGTATTAAATGGGTCATATTGTGCGATGGCAGGAGTCCTGGTAGAGAGGAAGTGACTGTGAACAGGCACTAAAGATTGGAAAGGAGGAAAGATGGTGGTATAGTGGGATGGGGACTGAGTGGAATACAGAGACTGAGCAGAGTAGCTATCGAGTCACAAAACCAAGAGTTATCTATATTGTGTACTCCCTGGGGCTACTAGTAAATGTATGCCACATATATACATAACCTTTTGTTATGTGTATGGTTGACAGAGCCATTGTGTAAGGTTGGAAGAGTTGTTTGCATATCACTGAGGTGTGCCATTCTTATCGCAGCTGAGGTGACTGGCACCCCTGCGGTTGTGCTGTACATAAACTGCAGAGCCAGTGTGGCAGCTCTGGTAGTTCATGGGAGTAGCAAGAACATTTTATTTTTGTCACTTTATACTTTAAGTATTTTTAGCATTAAAATTAATAAAAGGAAGAAAAAGACTTTTAAGTTAAAGCACTTGCCAAAGTTTAGGAATAGCTTTTAATTGAACTAGTAGTTGTGAGTGCATATCACGTTCAAGTTATGCTATGTCAGGAGTGCAGACATTACTTAGAAGTTGAGATCCTTTAGACGTTTTACCTCATTGGATAGGGGTGGAGAATGATTGATAAGGATGGAGGGGACCATCAGATAAAACAATAACCTGAAGATTGGTGTTTAATAAAAGTCCTGTGGTGGTTTAGAGGAGAAATAAATGACATCTCATTAGTTAGGAACTAAAGATGTTTTACAGGGAATTGGTATTCAATATGGAAAGATTTCTATGGAAAGAGATTTTTGTTGGTCCTAGGCTGAGGGCATCATAGGTAGGAAATAATGCTTAAAAATTAGATATTTAACCATCTGCGATTTAACTTTGCAATACTATTTTTTTTCCTGCCCTACACTTGGATAACTGAGAGCAGTATAATAGACTTTTGTGAGGTTTTAAAATAGCAATATGATTCATGATGTCAGTTTACTTGGACCAGAATTATAGTTGCCATATCTGTTTTTCCAGTTAGTTAATTAAAAACAGTTCTGTGTAGTTTCCTGTTTCTTCTACATTTTCATTTGCAAATTGTTTTTGTAAAATTCCAAATCCAAGAATAACTCAAACTACCTAATTGTCTGGCTGTCAGATACGAGAATTGAAGCTTTTGTTGTGCTCTCTAAATGATGTTCTTTGACCCATAAAATGTGGAAAATAGGAGTTTAGAAATATGGCATTAATTCACTTGAAACAACTCAGTGAAATTCAATCAATTTTATATTGGTGCTAAGAGGAGGATATAGCAGTTAATCATTAAAGTTAATGGCTGAATCTTGGAAAAATGGCATGTCTTTTCAACTGTTAATTTTTTATAAAGGAATATGCATGCTCATTTCTGAAGTTTTAGAAAGTAGAAAAATTCAACTGAAGAAAAGAATACATTTTGACATTTTGGTGTATTTCTTTTCAGTCATTTTGTTGTGCCTGTTTTTATAGAATGTATATAATCAATATGTACATAGCTGACATTTAATATGTGCTTTATATCTGGGATTTCATCATTTTCCTTAAATCCAAAGAACTGATTTTAGGATTTCCTATTTTAAAATTTAGTTACATTTAAGAAATTGAAGTATATAACCTATATACTATGATTTTCATCATTTTAAGGTATATAATTCAGTGACTTTTATTTGATTCACAAGATTGTGCAACTATTACTGCTGTCTAATTCCAGAACATTTCATCGCCTAGGTGGACAGTGATAATTACAACCAAGTGGGCCTTATCTGCAAGGATTTCAATGGGTGGGTTACCTTTGAGATATGCTTTGAAGGCCCACAGGTTTCATAGAGAACAGTTAATTTCTTCCTCTCATTAAAATCTTTCAGTTGTTTCCCACTTCCCATAGCATGAAAGCCAAACTATTCAACGAAATATTCTTTGTATCTGTGTCTTTATGTGCTTAAGTCTTTATCACCATCTTTGGTTGTGAGCCCTTGTGTGATAAGTTCCACCTATACTGAGCTTTGGTCAATTTACCTTAGACCATCTTTTTTCATGCCTTTGTAGTACCATTTGGCCTGTCCAAATGGAGATGGACGGCAACTGCAGTATTTTTCACATTAGATTTATAGTTTTCACCTATGCAATTTAATTTTGAGTCTTCTTTATGTCGTCCTAGAAAATACCCGCTGCGTTTTTCAGGATTCAACTAATGCTTCACACACCTTATTTTCAAACCTTTCTCTTACTCTTCAAGTAGAAATAACTACTCCTTCTTAGACATATACCATATGTCCTTATTTGGCTGAAACAGTGTAGTTGTACACCTGTTGTCTTAGTATAGTTAATAATAATCTTTTTCACTCCCAGTAATATCCTGGTTTAGACAGTAAGCTACCTGGTTATTATATATGGCCATCTATCATTAAAACTGTAACTCGTCATTGTACCTAGCTACTTATATATTTTACTCTCCTTCCTTGAAGATACAGACTATATGCTTAATTTCTCTGAACTTAAAGCTATGCCTAATACATACTTTTGGCTCAGGAAATCTTGGATGGTTAGGCAGAAGGGTGGGTGTGTGGGGACTTCAACTAAAGGGAGTGGAGTAAAGTTCAGAGGATAGGAAAGTCAGACATGCAGGAATTTTTTTTGGTGTGGCCCATAATGAAGGATTCAATCTTCAGATTTCTCCACACCAATATTTAATACCAAAAGACAATGGAGTAATTTGTAACAAATTCTTGAGAGATATAAAGTTATGTGCTTTGATGTGCTTTCAGGGTTCTTATGCTTAGAACATTGTTGAACATTTTTATCTGTAGGATTACAATTTTCACCAAAAATAATAATTTTTTTGCCATTATTTCTACCCTTTCATGTTTGGAGATTTAATTATTAATGGTCTTTTTATCAAAAAAATGACAACTTTTTTCTCTCGGCGTTTCATTTTGGACAGTTTCTATGGCTGTGTCTTCAAATTCACTAGTTTTTTCTTTTGCAGCGTCTAAATTGTTATTCATCCCAACTGCAGTATTTTTCACCACTTGGGGTTTTCATTTCTGCAAATTAATTTAGAATCTTTTATGTTTCTAAACCTTTGACTATATGGGATACTGTTATAATAAGCTGTCAATGTTCTTGCATACTAACTCTAAGATCTCTCTCAATTTTGGGCCTTTTTTGATGGATTTTTTCCTCTTTATGGATTCTATATTTTTGCCCCTTTGCAAACCTGTTAAATTTTGATTGGATACCAGACATTTTGATTTTTACCTTATTGGGGGCTTAATATTTTTGAGCTATAATATTCCTGTAAATATTCTTGAGCTTTGTTCTGAGATGCTGTTAATTTACTTGGAATTAGTTTATACCTTTCAAGTCTTGCTTTTAAGATTTGTTAGGTGGACTAAAGCAGCCTTTATATTGGGATAATTATTCTCCACTACGGAGACAAGATCCTTCTGAGTACTCAATGCTCTGTGAGTTACGAGATTGTCTACTCTGGCTGGTAAGAACAGGCATTATTCCCAAACTTGCATCAGTCCCTGGTTTGGTTCCTGCAAGACTTTCGGGTGATTCTGTGCCTGGTGTTGAGTAGTTTCCTCACATGCATGCGCTGCTAAATATTCATGGGGTTCTGTCTTCGGGTCTCTGGAGTTCTCTCTCTCTCCTCTGTCTTCCCCTCTGATGCTCTGCCCTGAGAACTATAGCCTCATGAGCCTCCCTTATACAAACTATTTCATTTTTCCAACTCAGGGAGTCTGCTGGGCTCCATGTGGGATCCCTCTGCCTACATCAAAGCCTGGAAACTCTTTGGGCAATAAGCTGGGACAATTGTAAGACTCATATAGTTTATTTACAGTCTCATAGGGGTTACTGTCTTTTGTTGTTGGATGTCCAGTGCCTTGAAAATCATTGTCTCATATATTTTGTCCACATCTTTAGTTGTTTTAGGCAGAAGGGTAAATTAGTCCGTTTCCCTATGTTGGTTGGAAGAGGAAGTCTGTTTTCATTCTAAATTTGGTTTTATGAAAAAACTATTCATAATTGTGATAAAAAACACAAAAGATTTACCATCTTAACCATTTTTAAGGATACATTCCACTAGTGTTAAGTATATGCACATTGTTGTGCAACAGATCTCCAGAACGTTTTTATCCTGTGAAACTGAAACTCTATGGCTATTAAACAGCTTCCCAGCACCCACAACCCATGGTGATAACTCTTTTATTTTCTATTTGTATGAATTGAACTATTTTAAGTATTTCACCTAAGTAAAATCATATAGTATTAGGATTATTTTTTTTGTGACTGGCTTATTTCACCTAGCATAATGTCCTCAAGGTTTACCCATGTTGTAGAATGTGATAGATTTCCCTCCTTCCTAAGGCTGAATAATACTCCACTGTATGTATATACCACATTTATCCTGTTCGATGGTCATTTGAGTTACTTCCATCTCTTAGCTATCAGAATAATGCTGCTATAAATATGGGTGTGCAAATATCTCTTTAAAACCATGATTTCAGTTCTTTGCGATACAGACTCTTAAGGGGGATTGCTGGATCATACAGTTAATTCTTTAATTTTTTGAGGTAACTGCCATTCTACTCTCTGTAATGGTTGCACCATTTTACAGTTCTAGCAACAGTGTACAATGGTTCCAACTTTCTTAACTAAGTTTTAAGATTATGTATTTTACTTTTACCTACTTTTCTATAGCCTAGGGCAGTGATAGCAGCTGTGGGGAAGGGAACAATGCGGTGAGGGGTCATTGGAAAGAGCTCAGCCTAGGTATTGGGTCTTTGTTAGAATCCCTGAGTTCTGTTCTCTTTTACAAACTTTTGGCAAATGTTTTCTTCAGCTAGTTGGGAGCCATATTTTATTCCAGTAATGCTCAGATTATTTCTCCAAGTCAGTGTGAGTCCAGGAGCATTTACATCAGGCAGAAAGAGTGAGTGTTCTGCTATTTTTAATTAGTCTTAATCAGAAGAGGAAAAAGAAGACAAGAATAACCACTGAGTTTGCTTCTATCTATATTTGAGTGTGATAGTGACAATTATCAAGAACTTGTCATCTTACAAGTAGGACTGAAGGGGTTTGGTGGGTTCAGAGCTGAACCTTGCTGTGCTTTTCTGTTTTACCAGAATCTTGGTGGTTTCTGTTGCTGCCACTTTAAAGAGCTTCCTCGTTTGTTTATTCCTTTTTACTTACTTTGTTTGCTGATAGTAAATTTTCCCTTTTTTTTTAATGTTTAAAGAAAGATATGCTTGTGCTCATTTCATCAGGTAATTTGGGAGGGAAATTCTGTGCTGTCTGCTATGTCTGAGTCTGGAAGTCTATTTGATTTACAAGCAGACATTATTGAAAAGAAAAATGAACTGAAACCTGTTTTTCGTACCACCTTGTTGGCTCATGAAAGTCTCAGATACTACAAGTATTTAAATAAAAATATTTCAGTAAACACTTTAAAATAATGCAGGTGATTTAATTTATGTCATATATTGTGCTCATTATGATAACTGCAAATAAATATCTGTAGCCTAATAAATACATATTCAAGAAAGAATTTAATTAGTTATAGTTTCTTAAAACAAGATATATTTGTCCTAAAGCAGTGAGTTTTTTGGATAGTTTTAGATGGTTGTGTTTGGATCCTCTGTCATGAAATTAGATAAAAACCTGCTTAGTTTCCTAGGGAAAACTTGAAAACAGAAAAATAACTTCAGGTCAAAACCTGTCATTAAGAATTAAAATTTATAAAATACTCTATTATATGCCTGTTATGATCTTTCAGTGTACATTATCTCTTTTCTGTCTGCCTGCAGAATTTAAGTTCTCTTCACGTCACGGCTGTGATGTATGATAACATATTCTCTGGTTCTGTTCCCTTTGGTCATGATAGAGGGACATAGAACCATGGAAGACCATATGGGTCACATGGGAGTCATATATATATAGTACCATTCATAGCTGTAGATTTTATGATTAAAGTAACTGGCATATCACAAAATTTAAAGCAATAATGATCTAACAAAATTATTTTAAAAATGCCCCTCATACTTGGGATTAAAATTTCTAGTCTCTTTATAGTAATAGTTGCTTAGTAATTCAATTATAAAACAAAGTGAAGAATAGTAATTCACATATTAAAAAAAATAGAATAAGGTGATATTGTATGATTTCATTTCAATTCAGAATAAATTCATGATGGGGAATTTTGGGGTACTGACAGTTTGTTGATTTTGATCTGGATGTAACTATGATAACTTTGAAATTTCATCAGGCGTGTTTATGATTTATGTGCTTTCTCTGTGTATGTTACATTTCAATCAAATTAAAGAAGTTGCTATTAAGTATGAAGAAACTTATCTTTTTTTCTCTTTCAAGGAAATGATTATTGACAGAGTAAATGGACAGGCTGTTCCTAGATATTTGATATATGACATAATTAAATTCAATGTAAGTATCTCTTATAATTTATAAAATAAAAATTGTCACTGAGCTAATATGTTTTTAACAGACAAAAAGTGTCACTACTTTAGAGATAGTAGGAAAGAAAAATTGGGGCTCTTTCAGAAAAGTTACTCATTTTATATCTTCATGTTAATACTTTTACATCTCCTTTTCTTTATTTCCTAATATTTTGCACATTCCTTTGTCTTTGGATTCTTTAGGTACTTCAAGTACATAATGAAAAACAGTTTAATTGTGACAATAAGATAGCATTTTGTAAAATGGAAGCTTCTTGACTTTAGTTATCCTGTAGTCAATTAAAAAAAATTCCCCAAATTTTATTACTGTTTGTCACTTAAAAAAAAAGAAAGAGAGGAACTGCTTATGAATATTGAATGTATGACTTGGAGGCACAAATATGTTATTCATGAGTACAGGCAGGAAACTTAAAATATAAAATTCCTTGTTGTAAATAGATACCAAAAAATAGGAATTATATTCTCTACCCATTTCCTACAGTTTTAGACCAGCCAAAAATCTGTTTGGCTGTTCATGTTTAATTATAGTATGAGTGTCTAAATTATTTAGGCAGTATGTGATGACTTCTGTAAATGCAAGAAGCACTTTGAAACGTGTACATCTATGGAAAGGTATAATCATTCCCCCAGACATATATTATTCAAATTGCATAGTCACTTAGCATTCAAATCAGACCAAAAGCAATTAAGAATTCTGGAATTAAAAGTGTTGTTTTAAGTTTTAAGGTTTTGAAGATTTATAACAAAAGTTTTAGAAAGTTCTTTTTTGGAGTGTGTATTTTAAATTGCAGTGTTAAGATTCAGGATCACATTAGTCCAGATTACCCAAAAGGAGTTTTTCTTGGAAATCTTGAATGTACATATCTTAAATTTTGTTGAATTTCTGTATTTCAAACAGAGTTTCAAATTTAATAAACTCAAGGTCAGAAACCACCAAATTTTAATTTTGTTATATTTGTGACTACTGTAGTCCTCAAAAGTAATGGTTCCCAGAATTGGCCAACTCTTATCGCAGGTCTTAGAATCATGTTCATTGGTCCATAATGACACATAAAGGGTTGGGGGTGGCCTTGTTTCTTTGTGAATGTGGGGCAGGGGCACTATCTCCGTTGCCTTTTGATGTCCAAGCTCTGCTTTAATAAATGTTCATTTCTTGGCATGAGCACTTTTAGACAACAGCCTTCTAATTTTTTATTAAAAAAATTTTTTTCCATTAAAAAAATTGAAGTATAGTTGATATACAACATTATACTGGTTTCAAGTATAGAACATAGTGATTTGAGTTACCTACATTATTAAATGCTTACCCCCAACTAGTGTAGTTAGTTGTCAACATAGAAAGATGTTACAGAACAATTACTATATTCTCTGTGCTGTACTTTTGTCCCTGTGACTAACTTATACTATGCCTGAGATTTTATGCTCCTTTATCCCCTCTACCTATTTCACTAACCCAGCCCTCCCCCTCTCCCACGGGAACCACCAGTCACTTCTCTGTTTCTATGAGACAGCAATGTTTTGTTCATTTTTTTTTTTAGATTCCACATATAAGTGAAGTCATATGGTGTTTGTCTTTCTCAACAGCCTCCTAATTCTTTATAAAAATATGAAAATGCAGCATATGCAGAAGTATAGAGAATGGTATAGTATAAGGAATACTCATGTACTAACCAGCAGATTTGTTGAAACTTTAACATTCTATCATATTTTTACTCAACTCTCTTTTTAATAAGAAATAAATCATTACAGATCCCATAGAACTTCCTTGCACACATGTCTCTCATTTTATTCTCAACCCTGTTACTCAGAAACATCTTCTACCCTGAATTTGGTGTTTATTATTCTCATAAGTGTATTTAATACTTTTACTATTTGTGTGTGTGTCCATAAAATGTGTAGTATTCTTCTGTAAGGTTTCTAGTGCCATATAAATGTCATACCATACTGTGGTACCCAACATTTGCTCCACATTATTTTGTTGAGATTTAGCTGTGTTAATATGTATAGTTTTAGTTCATTCATTTTTAACTACTGTTGAGTATTAGAGTCTGTAAATGTACAGAATTACCTTGTTTCCTTTTGATGGACATTTGGGTTTCCATATTTTGCTTTGATGCTACTATGGCATCGAAGAGTTTTATGTATTTACCTTGTGCATAGTGCAGAGTATCATTAGGATGATTTTCCATCTTTTGCAATCACCTGGAAAGTGTTTTACAAAGTACGGCCTGTCACCCCTGCATTATTGAGATTCTGATTATAAATGGCAACTTAAGCTTTATTAGCTAAATTCCTCTCAGACGTAGTTATACCAATTTGCTACAGTTAGTATGTCAGACTTACAAATTTTGCCAATTGTATGTGTATGATATGGTATCTCATCTTGTTTTAATTTGTTTTTCCTTGATTACTAATGAAGTTGATCATATTTCATATGTTTATTTTTAATTGTTTGGATTTTCCATTGAGATTTAATTTCAAGTTCAAATAATCTTATTTTTCTATTTGGTTGTCAATCTTTTTTCTTCTTAATGTGTAGAAATTAGTTACCATTTCTGAATTCCAATGCTTTCTTGGTTTTATATGTGAAAGGCCATATCTTTTCCAAAATTAGTATCTATTGATCCACAGAAAATTTTCATTGTAATGAAGTCAAACTTGTTAGACCATATCAAAGTTTGTGCTTTTGTGTTGAGTTTCGGAAATTCATTCATATTTTTACTACATTAAATATGCCTCAGTAAAAATAAGTTATGCCTTTCATCTCTAGGTCTATAATCATTCATTCAGTAAATATTGAGTGCCTGTTTACCATATTTCGTATATTTTAAAATCACATTTTTTCACATTTCTGCTATTAGGATATATTTATAATGGAAAGCATGATATTTAATTGTTTAATTTACTATGGAGCTTTCATTGATTGTTAGCCAGTTTATTCTGAGTTGCCAAACCAAGGTCACTATTAGAAAAAACTCTTTTAAAATAATAAAAACTTTTCAGTTCCTCTGTTTATTATGTTGTCCAGCAAGAATTTCTTTAGTCACCTTTTATATATTAAGAATTGTTCTTGGTATTAGGTATACCCAGATGAGTAAGATACAATTTCTGGCCTTTAGGGAATTTGTAATTTAGTGAACTGGCCTCCAAAAAAGGCCAGTTCTGCAGCAGTTCATTGGGAATTTGGGAGGAAAATAGAACTTTCTGTTTATTTTTATAATTTATCTTATTTTCGTCTGCCTTATATGTGGTGCAATTCATTAAAAATTAATATCCTGGTATTATAAACATTTGTTAGGGTATGTGTATAGTCTGGGTACAAAATCAAAAGAAATTTTCAGACCAATGGTCTTATGGATGAGAATATAAATGTAATGAAATAATTGCAATCATCATAACTCTAACAACAGAAGTACATGAGAGATACAGAATTATGAGAGGTACTAGAAAGATGAAATCATTCCAGTTTACCCTCGGTAGAGTCAAGCCATTGAAGCGTGGACTTGCAGACAAAGTGACACAGATTGATTTTGAAGTATAGAGTCTTGGAGTCAGGAACATTAGATGGTTTTAGCATTCCAGATGTGTGGCAAGATGTGGGGCATAGCAGAAAGTGAGAATGGATTGGTGAGTAGTGGGCCACATTACTCGAATAATGTATTTTAGCTTAGTTCTGTATGTCATAGGGCTTTGTTGATAGGTCTTGGTTATGATGATATGATCACACTTTTATTGTTTTGAAAGCTAACTCCAGTGGCAGCATGGGTAGTGTTCTGAAGTGAGAAAGAACTCAAAACAGAGAGGCCAGTTAGTCACTCATCATTGAGTGCTTCCTGTAGTCTATTCTCAATTTCAACACCTATCTGTTGAGAACTTCCTTTATGATAAGCAGCATAGATTTGAAGGTGAACTTGCTTTCGATCTTTGCTTATTGTTTTGGTGAATTTATTTATGTTTTAAATTCCCCAGAAGGGAATTTAGATCCCTTATATATATTTTTAGCAGTTGTTTGGCTTTTTAGTGTCTTTCTAAAAAAAAGGAAAAAGAGCTTACTTGTTCCACTGTTCCGCTTTGATTTCCATAGGGGTCTGAATTCACCTACTACTCCTAATAAATAAGCCTACCATTTTCGATTGTTCAATTTTATATATGATGTAGGTGACATGGAAAAGATTGTAAATGGACACTGTGGATATTTATTGGCATTTCCTCAATAATACCTTTTACGAACAGTTGTATGCCTTTATGTAAAGGGAGCATATTCATTCTACTTTATACCTAGGTGCCCGCTTTGTCTTGCTCCTTAGTCTTTGCTGAGTATCAAAATTGTCATCCTTCTGCAGTTGAGAAAATCATCTTTGAGGCGTATTTAATGTTCTAACATCTCTTTGTAAACATTAGGTTGCATAAATGTTAGGTTGAGTAATATGAATTAGAGAAGAGGAATAAGACAGACTGGAAGAATGCGTGGAAGTGTGTCCAATTGTAAAGGAAAGAAGAGATGGCATACTTGGTATGCCATTGACATGCTACTAATTTAGACAATTATTGTCACTCAGATGATGTTTTATAGCTCTATCTGTGTGTACCATTAGGACAGTGCAAACCCCCACCTTCAATTCATACAAAACTGTATATATACTCTTTATTTCATGGTTCAAACCATATATGCCATATTTTTATACCATATAGTATACTGTATATATGTATATATATATATGGGAGATGTATATATATGTGTGTGTGTGTGTATGTATGAGAGAGAAGAGGCTTTTACAACTGTATAATTGAATATATTATGTAAGCTTTAGTCTGTATTGTTTTCAGAGTTGAGAAAGTATTTGCTAAATATCTACTTATTGATATGTGTAAGGGTTACTACTTTAAACAACAACAAAATTCTATAGGTGACTTGCTTATTTTGATGTTTTATTTGCTCATACACCTGAATTATGTTATTTTAGTTTTTTTACAGGTTTTACTAATTCATATAAATAAATGTAAATGATTAGTGAGTATATTAATACTTTACTTCATATGTGAAAACTTTATATCAATTTGTATTAGAGTAGATTTATACTTCTTTCCCATACTCTTTTATACATTTATAATTTTAAAATAACTCTATATGTGTGTTTAGGTATGCTTAATTAGTCAAGTTAATTATCAGGACTGGCATGTATGGTTGTACAGGCTATGCATTGGACAATTCCCAAGAATGCTGTTTATCTAGACTGCTATGTACAATTGACAGCCATGATAATTATGCTGTTAAAGTAGTTTTTAGTGTTGAAATTTAAATAATTGTTTCATTTAATTCAGGCACAGCCAGTTGGAGACTGTGATTTTAATATTCGTCTGCAGTGTATAGAACGAGAAATAATAAATCCTCGACATGAAAAAATGAAGACTGGGCTCATTGACAAAACACGGGAACCATTCAGTGTCAGAAACAAGCCATTTTTTGACATCTATACTTCAAGAAAGGTAAAGTTTTCTAATTAGTACGTACAGTGTACGTAATTCAGTTTGTGAGAGGAATTTGAATATTTGACTACCCAGTTGCCTTGATTTTTCCAGAAATTACTTGAATATAATGCTATTCTGGGCAGACATATACTATTCCATGTCTTCTCTTTAGTTAGATTCTCAGTGATGGAAACTTAAATTTGGTTACTTTCTTGTCTCTCATAAAAGCTTTTGATTCATAGCTTGGTCTGCATTATGTTTTTAAAAATGCTATCTGCATTGTAGAATTAGAGAGTGAAAACCATGTTATGCCTTTAAAGCTCACCCGTGTTTGGCACATGGTCATACTAAAAAATTCATTTACATGTGTATACACACACACACATTGAGGGTTTTTCCTTTATTATTTATTTTGGTTGTTTTGACACTTTAAATACATCATTCTAAATGTCTTGGGACTATTGTTTTTTCAGTTAACAATATAGCTTGGGAATATTTCCATGTCAGTGCTCAGAGCCTTGCCACATTGTTTCTATTTTTACTTTTTCATGTGTCCTCTCAGGGATAATTTGGGTTTTTTATTGATTTTTATTTTTATTTTTAATATATTAAGGTATTATTGATAATACACTCTTATGAAGGTTTCACATGGAAAAACAATGTGGTTACTACATTCACCTGTATTATCACCACATTGTTTTTTAACTGTTATGTAGTGTTTGGCAGTAAAGATGCACTGTAAAGATATTATTCTTTGCCGGAGGGGTGATTATGACAGAATAATATGTGAAGTATAATGAATAATGCAGTTATATGTTTTAAACTCCTTTCTAGTATAATCTCACATGCTAGATGTTTTAAGTTTTTGTTGTATTTACCTGCTTCTGCTCCTGTGCACTTAATTTGGTATCAGTGGTTGGGCATAATATTGGCAGTAATCCCGGCACTGAAAGGGCCTATATTTTGTCATTTCAACAAAATGAAGTTGTCATTCTATTTTTATTATTTATTTTGCATAATGTCTGCTTGACTTGGAACTGTTGGTTGGCCTTTGTTGTCACCATCTTCCCACAGTTCGCTGCTCGCCTTTTGTGTCTGCTTTGGCAGCAGGAAGAATGTTATAGGCATGCCTCCTTCTGTGTCTTACGCAGTCAGTAGGGTAAGGATAAGGATAAGGCAGACACTATGTCATTGGTGGAAATCTGCTAATTGGAGCTGTGTGTTCTTTAAAAATTTTTTTTTATTAAGGTATCATTGATATACAGTCTTGGGAAGGTTTCACGAGCAACATTGTAGTTACTACATTCACCCATATTACGAAGTACTCCCCCCCACCCCCTGCCTCCACATCCCATTGCAGTCACTGTCCAACAACGTAGCAAGATGCTACAGAGTCATCACTTGTCTTCTCCGTGCTATACTGCCTTCCCTGTGAGCCATCTATATCACGTGTGCTAATTTTAATGCCCCTTAATCCCCTTCTTCCTCCCTCGCCACGAGCCTTACCTGTCCCTCCCCTTTGGTAACCTCTAGTCCCTTCTTGGAGTCTGTGAGTCTCCTGCTGTTTTGTTCCTTCAGTTTTGCTTTGTTGTTATACTCCACAAATGAGTGAAATTATTTGGTACTTGTCTTTCTCAACCTGGCTTATTTCATTGAGTATAATACCCTCTATAGAGCTTTGTATTCTTATTGAAACATTTCGTAAATTATAAATAGTGTAAAAGTTGGACAGAAGCCAAATTGTTTGCATTCATTTTTTAAAAAAATTGATGGCTGTGCTGTCATGATTCAAAGTTCCACATTTAAGACAATGTGTCTTAGTTTAATTTCTTTAGTTAAAATCAGTGCTACTTAGAACTATTTTCCAGAGGATGGATGGCTGTAGAATTTCTTTAAGGACCTGATACGGATCTAAAGCAGTTATGATGAACAGATTTTCATGTGGTTTTTTTCACTAGAAAAACAAAGCTGCTTGTTACTTTTCTTTCTCCATATTTAACTTCTGTAACCTCACTTAAAAACCATAGGCCCTGCCTTTTTTTAAAGCAATTCTAATATTTTGAATTTTAAATGATCATCCTTTTTGGTTCTGTTATTTTTTGTTCTCAAGAATACACAGAAAGCACTTTTTGCAGCTGAATTGGTCTAAAGGGTAGGATCATAGTAACACCACTTACAGGATAGTAGGTACAGTTGACAGATGATTGCTGTAGGGATTCTAACTATTTCTACCATTGCTAATGGGAATGGTTAAATTATATGAATGATAAAGCATTTGTCAGGGAGGTATATATCATTTTTATGAGGAATGCTAGTTTTTTGTGGTTCCAAGTGAAATTTACAGCTGTGAAAAATACATACTTTTTTGTAGAAAATAATTTTTGTTTTTGTATATCTATAGAATCTTGAAGGTAACTTTGATTTTAGGACTTTATTACTGTAGCTCTATTAACAACTTTATTTTGTCATTTGATCTGTCAAGCACAGTGAAGAGATAATGAGTTGTTTAGTTATTAATATACATGTTAGAATAAAGCATCTAAAATGGTAAAAGCAAGTAGCAGTTTCTCAAATTTTAATTTTATTTGCATTTAAAGTTTGAAGGCCAATTAAAAAGGAGTTACTTGAATAGATCAAATATGGTTAACAAAATTGTAGAAGTCATATAGCAAAGAGTTTCTCTGAAAGTTCATTATCCATTTATCAGCTTCTCAGAAGAGTAATCATTGCTCTTAATATTTGGTGTATCCATCAGAATTTCCTTACAGAAATACAGGCAAATACATTTATTTATATTCCTATCACCCCTACACACAAGAGTAATTCTTAACACACTGCTTTATACCTTGCTTTCTAAAAATTTTACTTAACATCGTATCTTGAGTCCCCTTGCTCTGATAGTGGTATGTAGAGCTCATCCTTTCTCTGTCTACAGATGTACAGATTTCCACCTTCTCAGTGTACCATAACTTAACTATTCCATAAGCATGGACATTTGGGTTTTTATTTATTTATTTATTTATTTAGGTATCATTAATATACAATCACATGAGCAACTTTGTGGTTACTAGATTCCCCCATTATCAAGTCCCCCCCACATACCCCATTACAGTCACTGTCCATCAGCGCAGTAAGATGCTATAGAATCACTACTTGTCTTTCTGTGCCTCCCACCTATGTTATGTGGACTAATTGTAATGCTCCTTATTCCTCTTATCCCTCCCATCCCACTCATCCTCCCCAGTCTTTCCCTTTGGAAACTGTTAGTCCATTCTTGGGTTCTGTGAGTCTGCTGCTGTTTTGTTCCTTCAGTTTTTCTTTGTTCTTATACTCCACATATGAGTGAAATCATTTGGTACTTGTCTTTCTCCGCCTGGCTTATTTCACTGAGCATAATACCTCGAGCTCCATCCATGTTGCAAATGGTAGAATTTCTTTTCTTCTTATGGCTGAACAATATTCCATATGTACCACATCTTCTTTATCCATTCATTTACTGATGGGCACTTTGGTTGCTCCCATTTCTTGGCTATTGTAAATAGTGCTGTGACACACATTTATCTTTTTGAAACTGGGCTACTGAATTCTTAGGGTAAATTCCAAGGAGTGGAATTCCTGGGTCAAATGGTATTTCTATTTTTAGTTTTTGAGGAACCTCCGTACTGCTTTTCACAATGGTTGAACTAGTTTACATTCCCACCAGCAGTGTAGGAGGGTTTCCCTTGTTCCACGTACTCACCAACATTTGTTGTTTCTGTTCTTTTCTACGTTGGCCATCCTAACTGGTGTGAGGTGATATCTCATTGTGATTTTAATTTGCATTTCCCTGATAATTAGTGATGTGGAGCATCTTTTCATGTGCCTGTTGGCCATCTGAATTTCTTCTTTAGGGAAATGTCTGTTCATATCCTCCGCCCATTTTTTAATAGGGTTATTTGCTTTTTGGGTGTTGAGGTGTGTGAGTTCTTTATATATTTTTGATTTTAACCCCTTGTTGGATATGTCATTTACAAATATATTCTCCTGACATTTGGGTTTTTTTTTAAAAGTCTATGATAGGTTTTTTTTGTTTTGCATATGGATATCCAATTTTTTCTTCACTAATTATTGAAAAGACTATTCTTTTTTCGATGAATTGCTTTTACACCTTTGTAAAAAATAACTTGTAATGTATGTCTGGGTCTCTAGACTCTGTTGTGTTCACTTCATCTGTTTATCTTTATGCTAATACTCTACTGTCTTGATTACTCTTTTGTTTATGATAAATCTTGAAATCAGAATTACTCTTCCAACTTTGTACTTCTTTTTTAAGTTGTTTGGGCTATTCTTATCCTTTGCATTTCAATTACATATTTTTTAGAGTAAGAATTTTAGAATAAGCTATCAATATGTACAAAAAAGCCTGCTGAAATTTGGATTAGAATTGCATTGCATATATGGATCAGTTTAAGGGAAGAGTTGATATCCTAACAATATCGAGTTTTCTAGTTCATCAACCTGGTATATTTCACTTTTTATTTAGTCTTTAATCTCTCTCAGAAATGTTTATATTTTTCAGTGTCAGGTTTTACTCATCCGATTTTTCAGATTGATTTCATACCATTTGATAAAATTGTAATGACTATTTTAAAGTTTTCAATTTCTAATTGTATATAGGCATTATATAGGAATACGTTGATTTTTTGTGTCTTGAAATCTTGATAAATTCACTTATTGTTCTAATAGCTTTACAATTGAATTACAACATATTTTCGCAGATAGTCATGTCATCTGCAAAAGAAGCCACCTTTACTTTTCTTTTCCAGTTTGGATGCCTTTTATTTCTTTTGCTTTTTTTTGCACCGGCTAGAACCTCATGTCTAACGTTTAATACAAGTAGTGAGAGTGAACAACCTTGTTTGTCCCTCTGCTTTGGGGCAAGAGAAGTTTGTTTTTAACTACCAAGTATGATGTTAGCTATAGGGCTTTAGCAGGTGCCTTTTATACAAGATAAATTTTTAAACTTGAAAGCTGTTGAT